TCAGTTTATTCTATGTTAAATAGTTTTACGTTTCTGTCACCACTGGCCAGCACTGGCCTTGAATTTGCCCAATTCCTCACTGGCTCTCCAGCACATTGTCAGAAATGAGTAATGACACTTTTCAATATAGTGTTGTGAGTAAAAACGGCAGAATGGACAAGGACACGACTTTGCTGCCACAGGAACTCCTAACTCAGACGACAGACAAAGGTTTCCTATTTCTCCCTGTTAGTCACACAGACATGCACAAAACCTCCTCTAAATGCACTACTTGTTTACAGAGTACACTTTCTTTTGTTTTCTGTTTCAGATAAAATACATCAAATCTTTTATTTAAGACTATTTTTCAGCTCAGTGAAAGGTTGTTATGATCACCTAGAAGACAAAGGCAAAAAGAGAAGCAGACTTTTTTAAAGGCTGAACCAGGGTTGACGGTGTAATAGTAATTTATGAAAAAGTACACATTAAAGATTCATGATCTCCCCTCTCTTACAGTGTCACCATACTGTAAGAACACTATTCAACACACATGCAAAGTGCAAAGGGAAAATGTGAGGAGAAAAGCTATTTCAATGGAAGAACAAAGAATGAATGAGCTGCAATGTAGCAGAAGGTGAGAAGAAAAGGGAAGCAGGGCTGCAAGTCATCTTTTTCACAACACCCTGCAGTGAGCCGTCTTCATTGAACACAAAATAAGGTTTCTCTCTGGCTGMACACGTTTTTGTCAGTACATCTCCCCTCTGTGATCCTTCTACAGATCATTGATAGGTTTTAAAGCACCATAACTCCTTTTCCATATCTACTGTATCTCAGCTCAGTGAATGTGTGGATTTGACGGTGTGATTTATCCTAAACCCAACTTCTCATTCGAGCCTTTAAAAATCGCCGTGTGGTGCCTGTTTGCCTTCCAGCTCTTCCTACCATCTTTTTCAAACATCACACAGCTGAGACTTCAGCATGATGGCACTGAGGCATTCATCTCTGGGCCACTGTCGTTTTACAGCCAACGCTCAAACGTCCATTAACTTTCTCGTGAATCGGTCGCACGAGTTTTAAAGGGGCAATATCATGTAAAATCAACTTTTTTGAGTTTTATATCATGTTGTAATGTTATTCTCTCATAAAAAAAAACATGCCCAAAGCCTTGCTTTGACTCATTCATGCATGTTTGAGAAATCCTGCAGTGTTTTTATGAAGCCATGCTGAGGAGCAAAACGACAGGTGGGGACCAGAAACACCTTTTGGGACTTAAACGCCCCTGGGGCGTGTCTTTAAGCCGAACTTCCTCATGGCAGAGCATCCCTCTCCTCTCCCCACACACCCTGCCCATGACTCCTGCAGGCTCTCGGGTGAAAGTGAAACCTGTCTGTCTGCTGAGCTCAAAACATTACTTCTCACTCAGTGAAGCTCTTTTCAGATTCAAAATACCTTTGAGGAAATGTATTTTCAGATGCCAAATAAACTGCATCATGGCAGCCCCTCTTAAAGAGACAGAGGCCAATTTCAAGGCGTTTAGAAGAGGAAGTGATGAGAAGATAAGTTTATTTTCTATTTAAACATAAAACAGCATTTTAATAACAGATAAAGGTGACATAGATACGTTATTATGGTATAGTATTTAAATCTATGCCTGAGAAACGCATATTGGTCCTTTAATACAGAAATGGTCATTTAATCTCTTGGTTTTTGACGGGGTTGTGGCTAACGGCTTCAAGTTTGGTTTCAGATTTCTGCCTTCAGCGTTTCAGAGGTCATCCCTGAGTGGGTTTGATAAAAGTGGTCATTTCAGGGACCACTCAGTCTGACCTCGATCGGCTTTTCTTCTGTTACTCTTTCATTATGTTCTTTTTTTCTGAGCTTTGTAGAGTCATCTTTATTTTTACCACTTCTCCTGCCTTTGTCATGACAAATGGTTAAAGCTGGAGGCCTTGTGAGTAATAACCAGAAGTGTAAACGGCATGCAAACAACATGCTACATTTATGCACCTACTGTACATGTCTGTTCACTGCAGACTGTTAATAAACAGTTGGAAGGTAGGCTTTGAAATTTAAGAACCAAAGAGATTAAATTATCCTCTAAATGACAAAATCATCAGAATGTATTTTTTCCTGTTGGTAAGGAAAAGAAAAATGAAAAAGAAAAACTTAAGGCTCGCTTTTCAGGTAACACCTCTATTTTAATGAACAACAAGAGGTTAGGATTCAGTTTTTAAAAAGAGAATAACTAAAAACGTTTTGATGCATCGCGGTAACCCAGGTAGAAAAATGTAAAAATAAGTTGAGTAGGTCTCCTGGATGAGTTCTTTGTTGAAAACCTTTCATCGCTTTTCCAAGAGACTTCTTCAGTCTGAGGAGTTACAGGTGGACAGTGGTCTCTCTTTTAGGGATGAAAATTTTCTCATCCTTGATAGAGAGGAACACTGGTTTGAAAGAGGAGTAAAGGAAGCTATTTTTGTGAAAACAAACGCTCCAATGTTAAACAGTGGTGGAGGTCTCCATGTCCAGTCCCCCCGATAACCAGGACCCTAATGACCAGTGGTGTGCACCAGTCCCCTAAAGCGCAAATCCGCTAATTGTGGACCTAACTATTTTGTTTGTGCATTAGCGGTCTTACTAATTTTTATAATTCATAAACGGATTTGCGCTTTCTAAAATTAAAATGCAGTACTGCTGATAACTAATTATCTACCAGTCATTATCTTGAACAGCAGAAGGTATGGTTGTAAATGAATCACAATGCACATGATCTATCCAACAGCACCCATCCCAGATAAACACAATTATTGGGAAGGTATACATCCTTGCTGACAGTTGCTTTGTGTCACGGTTCTCATTTCCCACAATGCTTTGTGTCTGCTTACATAGCAGGAAGGCAATGGTTAGAACTATGTGACCGGGAGAAAACAGTTAATGTTTGTAATCCTTACTAAAATTTTGTATGTATTGATTTATTTTAATTTACAATCGGACCTTCTTTAAAAAAACAAAAAAAAAACAAAGTTTAAACGCTGGAGCTCAATTTTTGACATAACTGGTCGAAGCAATCAGCCAACGGGGTTAGCTGAAGGGACGCAGAAATGATTTAAAGATGTTATGCTGATGAAGACAGATATCTAGTGGTCAACTGGAGTGACAACAAAAGCATGGAAAATGTTAAAATCCATGCTCTTATTTTGAAGTGAAGATAGTTTCCTGCACACCATGCTTTCATTTCCCGTCAGGCCGTCACAAATCAAATCCGTCATGTACCCAGAATGCATAGCTTCAGTTTTCCAATAAAC